GCTCGCCCAGGCAGCCCGCCTCTGTTGTCCAGACCTGCACCCCATGCGCGCTCAGTAGTCCCCGTTCCTGCACACCCAGCCTTGCTCCCAATCTGCTCGCTGCTGCTCAGATCGGAGTCCTGGACAGCACACTACATGCCCAAACGGGCCAAACCAGCGCCCTCCCGGTGCCCGCTGCCTGCCATGAGAGCCACATGCCCACCTAGACCACTGCTCAGCCCGTCTTCCTCTCTCTCGGCTTCTTCCTCGTTAAGCGGTGCCCCATCCTCAATGTTTTCTTCGGCCACCACCGTATCAGCAACCGCCTTATTACCTCCCTCCATGTCGACAGCTCCATCATTAGAGCTCCTCATTATCTCACTCCTAGACAATGAATGTTTATGAGAACTCACCTTAAGAACAAACTAGCCTTGGGTCTCCAAGAAATCTCAAGAAAGAACACCCTCTCAAGATTGTGTGAAGTGGGTAAAATGAAGAAGGAAGCCTCTATTTATACTTAGAATTTCTTGGAATCAAGGAAAAAACCAAAAAAAAACCCCAAATTGGGCTAGGGCTTTTCAAAAATTCAAAAACAAAATGAAGGGAAGAAAGGAGGTTATATAGTCAATAGGGTTATGCAAGCAAAAGGAGTTCACTGGAAGGGATGGGGTTGCCGATCAAGAGAAGTTTTCGAAAAATTTAGATTTAAAAAGGTCCATACGTTATTTTGACCGTAACTTTTGATCTGTAACTCTAAACGGGACCCATAATATGTCAAATCGAAGCTCTCGAAGAGCTCTACAAAAGTTACTGCCAAAGGCAGTAAATGGCACTAGAAAAAGCCCAAAAAGGCCCAAAAATATATGTTTTGGCCTCCTGAAGTTTTTTAAATTTTGTCATTCGGCCAAAAATCCAAACTCAACCGAATGCCCTCCTTTCAAAGTTTCTTAAACGCAGGGCATTGAGGGGCAAATGATGGGTCAAGCCCGAGGGCCCAACTCATATTATAAGCCCAGTCTAAATTAATGACCCGATTCCAAGAGTCCAAATCTATAAAGATCCAGCAGGCCCAATGAGGCTCAGGCCCCAATCAAGCCCATCAGGGAGCTACACCACCAAGAAAGCATCAGGTGAGGAGAGGAGAGGTCATCCTCGTAGCTTGGAGAGAATCAACCTCCCACATCCTTGCCGATTGAGGAGAGGAGAAGTCGCCAAGGGATTTAATTACTATTAAATGGCCCCAACTATAACCGTCAGACTAGCTATACAATTACTACACAGATGACTATAAATTGTAAGCTCCCCCAACACTTGGGGGGCATCTCACTAAATCAAAGCTCCTTTCTTCTCTCTTGTAATTCTCTACTCTCCCAACACACCGGAGTCAATAAAATTTTCGACAGACTTAGCCATTGAAAGTGGACGTAGGTCTTGTTGACCGAACTACTATAAACCTTGTTCTCTTTCTTTCTACTTATTTTATTGCATTTTATACTACTCACTTGACTAGTGGTGTGCAAGCTAATTTGTGCATCATCATCTACCACAACCACTACCACCGTCATCACCCACCACTAATTGCTACCACCATCATCCACCTCCACCACCACCTCTACCACAACCATCACCACCAAGTGCTACCACAGTCGCCCACCACCATAATCATCATCTCATTTTTATATTTATTATCACTACCATTATCATTCCACCACCACCACCGCCACGCACTACCACAACCTACCACCACCCACCGTCACACACCACCAACAACCACCACTCGTTGTCGCACACTACCTCCATCACCGTTGCCACCCACGACTGCCACCACTGTCGCCGCCCACTATAACCATCACCATCTCCCATCACTATCATTACAGTCCACTACCACTCACTCTCGCTACAATCGTTGTTTAAATTCTTTTTCTCTTTTTTATATTTTGTGATTTAATTTTGAATGTAAATACATATATATTTATGATTGACAAATTTTTTATTATTTTGTGCCTTTAAGCATAGACAATAACTAATTTATATATTTAAGTTCAATTTCAAATTGCACAAGAATTGGGGAGATTAAGTCATGTGAAGAAAGTTTATGTCTAATTGTTTTATCTAAAAAAATAGTAAATATATGAATCTAATTCCAAATTGGACGAGAATCGAGGGATTAAATCATGTGAAGAAAGTTTAAATCTGATTATTTCATCTAAAAAAATAGCCTACTTATTTTTTAAAATAAATTTATTACAATATTTTTTTTTTTACAAACTTTTCAATGGGGGTTAGTCCTAAAAATTTTTAATTTCTCAAAATTTCATACATATCCTAAAACTTTCTAAAATTGGATGAATGTCCACTGCCCTCTCGTATATACAGTTGATTAAGAAAAAAAAGGTTTGACAGATTTAATTTTCTTTACTAATGATAAAAAAAAATATATAACTAACCTCTCCTCCTAGGACGGAGGGAGCTGTTCTGTTCCCCGAATAAATAAATAAAAAAGAGTGATAAGGTTGAGAAGATGGAGGTAGTTGTTAATAATTCTTTTGACTATCTGTTTGAAAAGGGTTTCTCTTCTAAAGATAAAAATAAGTGGAAGTTGCGCTGAAGGATTTGAAAGTTATAAGATTAATAAAGGTTAAAGGCCCCTCAGTATTTGGAAGGTTTTGGTTAGGCTTGTGCCTGTCCTTTCGGGTTCTGGGAGGGACTTGCCTGTAGTGGTGTAGTGTACCTTGGGACTTTTCCTTTTAACATTTGGTTGTACGATCTAAGTATGTTTCCACTTTGTTATATATCCAACTTTTTCTATATATATAATTTACCCTTTATTTATAATAAAAAAATCACCTCAAATTGAAATGAAAAATCAAGCTCTTAAATTCATTTTGTAATTAATTCATCTAATATGTATAAATAGACTAATTAGGGGTGGCAATTGTCTCCGATAAAGTCGTGTTCATGTCGTGTCATTTTGAATTCGTGTTGAGTACTAGTTAACCCTAATCTAACCCGTTTAACTATTTATGTTATATTTGTGTCAACTCATATAATTTGTGAATAAAAAATTTAACGCTCAATTTTATGTTTAGAATTTAATTATCACTTAATCTAATCCATTTATTATTCATGTTAATGGGTTATATCATATACGGATTCATTTTGAAAAATAATCAATTCTAACCTTTTAATTTTATATCAATTTCAAATTGTGTTTTCGTAACACCAACCCCTAATACTAACAGAGGACCCATTTATAAATTATGGGATCTACTTCAATTCAGGAGTAGAAGAACTTTTGACTGCTTGCTGTCCCACCCATTAGAATTGAAAATGGTGGGGATGCTTTTCAAGTAATAAAATAAAATCACGCCAAAGCCTGGCAGATTCATGTCTTATTGTCTTTTTGCCCCCAACAGAGTAAGTAGTGGGGGATTCCAAAAAAGTGTGTAGATAAACTTATTTAAGTTCACCTGAACCGGATGAGGTGTTGACGGCATTCAGGTTGAAACAATTCAAAAACTCATCCTATCATATAAAACTCGGATTTACCTAACTTGACAATTATGTTACACGTTCAACTAGAGTTAACTCGTGCATAAAAGTATAGTGCAATATAAATAATTTTGAGAAAGATATTAGATGAATCTATTTGAGACCGTTGGATTAGTTTATTGAAACTCGTCATATTTAATATTATAGATTCACATTGTAATATTAAATCTAAAAAATAATTAATTGCGATACGATAAATTCATTTCTAGGAAACCATCCAAAGAAAACCCCCTGACAACAGCAGCAGCAGAAGTTTTTATTTTTTATTTTGGTGGCAATCACAAGAGTGGCGGAGCAATGTTGTGGCCCCTCAACTTTTTGAAATTATATATTATACCCCCATAATTTTGTTTTGATCATATTTTATATAGCATTCAAATTTTTAAAATTATAATTTATACATTATATTATAATTTTTATTTTATTTTATTCTCTCGACTACTGATTAGACCATATTTAACCATTACCTATTAAAATTGAGATATTGTGTGTAAATCGTTAAATTTTGGTATTGTAACTATATTGCATGAGATTGATTCTTATATGTTATATGCATATAAATGTCATAACATTAATGATCTAATTGAATGATCCACACGGAATAAAAACTATATTGTTATATCACTTTTTAGCCCCCCTCGAGATAAAATCCTAGCTTAACCCCTAATCACATCAATAATGTTAATTCTCTTTCTTTTTTTTTGGTCAATCAATAATGTTAATTCTCGATAGTGGGTATAACAGTTGTACTATGTCAACATTGTCACGTGGTATAACTGTTACATCACATCCATCAAATAATAAATAAATAAACAAATGGAAAACTACTTTTACATAGAATGATTACTATCTTACATGACAAAGTGATTATTTGAATTAATGGAATCTATTTTTTCTATTTTGTGAATTATCATTAAACAGTTATATTACGTGACAAATCTAATGTGGTGTAACTGTCACATCCAATATTTACTCCAAGTTCTAATCTCTTGTAGTCGTAGATCATGAAAGACTATCATCTATCACCAACAAACCGGGCCTGACTGAATTCGACATCCTCAGTTGTTATTGTAGCTCTTTTCATTGACGTTTCTGATGATGCAGATATTTTAAATTCTGCATGATGTAATAGAAAGGGCAAGGGGATAAGCAAAATTTCGACTGCAAACAATAAGGAGACAGTCAGCACAAAGTGAGACTAGCTTCTTTGTGCAAGTGGCCATGGGAACTGTAATCAAATAATTAATTTAATCGGTAACTTGATTTTAAAGATGAGTAAGAGCCAATAGCACAGCAGTCCTTACTATAAAAGATGGAAATACGCAGTAATAACATATCAAAGATCAACTCTAGTAAGGAACAGCGTTATTGTTAAGGTCTCCTTCTTCATGTCCTCCTCTGATATGCATTCATACGTTTTCCTACAGTAACTCTAGTTTTTTGTCTTATGCAGGACGTGGTATTTACTGATGGCCAACACAGCAAGAACAATCTTTCTTCATTGCAGATGGACAAGTTTCTCTGGGCAGTTTCATGCTGCCTCCATCAATATGAGATTCAATCTCACAGAAGAACAGCATACTTCCTCTTCCCGTCATGCCATTCTCGCCTTTATTGTTCCGGTAGTCATCAGCCTCATGCAGTTAAAGTCCCAAGGAAAGGACGAAAATCCATTTGAAACCCACCCCAAAACCGTGTGTGTTGCCATTACTAGTTTGCTCCTATATTGCATCTTGTCCGAAGCAAAGTTGAGATTTTCCTCTCCAACTTATGCCAGTATTGTTCGGCACAGTATGACGTTGTTTGGTTTCTTGTCATTGACATCTCTTGCATCAACTCTGTTCCCAAACTCGGTTATGCTGGTTCCATATATGGTGTTCATCACACTTTCAGTAGCTGGATTGCTACACTTCTTTTGCTAGACAGTAATGGGGAGACCGGTAGAATCATGCCTTCCAGTTAGACCCATGTTACGCCGCTTGACCGACTCACATGGGCGAGGCACATGCCTTTATGAATGAGAGGGATACACGTTCAGTGTAACCAGAAGAAATTAAGGCATCCCTGGACAAGCAAAGATAGATCTTGACATCAGATAAGCCCAAAATCAAAAGACATTTGAAAAGCAAAAACGCCCTGCGAAAATATAAGTAGTCCTAAAGTGTGTTATAAAACGTGGCAATAAAGCTATGTTAGAGAACAGCTATGCGTATTTCTCATCGAGTAATATGTATCGAATGTTTGATATAATGATAATAAGTATATGTATCAAATGTTTGATATAATGATAATATGGTAGGGATAATTGCCAAGAACTATCTCTTTTTTTAGGGGCGCAACACGAGGACTTCCCAGGGGATCACTCATCTTAGTACTACTCTTGCTCAAGCACGCTTAACTGCGGAGTTCTGATGGAATCCGGAGCCTTAGTGCTGGCATGGTCGCACCCTGCCAAGAACTATCTAAGATTGCTGAACAAGACCTACATGCAAACTGACACACGAATAAAATCATCACTACATGATGTAAAGCGAATGGAAGAAACAGTATAGGAAATGAAACAGAAGACAAGTCCAAATTGATGAGTCTGGCCACAAATACTAAATTTACAGCCTGACTTCCAAAATTGGGCAGGAATGGTCCATAGACACATCAAATATTCTCAATTTACCAAGAAACCCTTGTCAGTAAACGTCAGTTATTTTAGCCATTTATGCAAACTGAACAAATCACGTGAACCAAGTAGTTCTTATTATCCCTTCCCTTTTTAATCTTTCTCCAACATTAAGGAACAAACGAAAGAAAAAAAATCAATGTAATCAGTCCAAAGGTATCTATATTATGATTTTTACCTCCTTATCTCTGGGGATATTACACAAACCAACACAGAGGTTTGCATTTATTGTACATTGCCACCGACAGGCATCCACTAAAATAAAAATTCACTCCATCTAAAGGCTAACAAAACCAACTAAAAGAAGTTCTTTTATTCAATATTCGATATAATACCAGATCAAAGTAGGAAAAAAAATAGGAATAATCACCCATTTTCTATCTACATTACTAGTAAAACAGTTATGTTGAGTCAAAGTTGGATTATTTGTGTTGACACTAACTTATCCATTTATCATCATGTTTGCAGATCATGTTATTTTCAGGTTTGTGTTAGAACCTAATCAACCCTCACTCACTTATTTTATGTCGAGTTCTTGCCGTTAACCTATGATGTTAAAATGTCATCCTATTTTGCCCTTCTTGAAACTAAAAACAATAAGATAGGAACATAAAAAAATCAAACATTATGAAGAAAGGCTTCTCCAGACTCCTCCTCCAACTCGTCGGCAGGGGCAGGGGTAGGGGTGGGGCCACCTAATAAAATTGCATCAAATATATCATAATTGATACATAAAAAATCAATACAAAACAGGGTAAAAAACAACTATATGGTTTACACAAACAAAAAAGATACTAATTATAACCCTTCCATAAAAATAAAGGTTAATTAAGACTAATATAATTGACCCGATAAATTCCTTCAGTTTTTGCACAATTTGTCACGAACCTAGCAGGATAAAACTACACCATAAAAAGAGAGTAAAATAGCAGTAAAAACAAAAGGATCAAATCAAGATCAGCGATAGCAAAAAAGAACAAAAAATTAGCCTGAAGAATACAAGTAGAGGCAAAGGCAGGAATATGATTCCGTCATGGTCAGTACATTTATTACCAAACAAAAAATAATTTAAGTACCATACAAGGTTGAAGATTTGAAATCGCAATAAGAAAAGCAAAAATTTCATGACATAAGACAGCATATTAAAACCAAACCTATTGCACCATCTAGATTCTAGATCCAAATTGTAACATTGGGTTCAATCTTACTAAATCAAAGACCGAGAGCTTAAAGGCGTATCAACTAGGGGTGTCAATTTTTGACTCGAACACGAACCCGTCTCGAATCGAACCCGAAAAAAACACGATTCGATGACACGAGTAATAAATAGGTCAAATTAAGGTTCGACACGAATAACACGATTAATGGGTACTGTAGATAGAAAATAATTATTTAATGAGTATTTTAGATAAAAAATAAGAATTTTATAATTTTTTAAATAGTATTATATTAGTTGTTGTCAAATTAAATAACTTTTTATTGACACGTACCGAAAATAACACGATCGAAAATGACACGACACGACCAATTGACACTCCCCTAGTATCAACCATATCAACCAACATGAAATGAGACGGAAGGCTTACCATTTAACCACGTACTTCGGTTCATTGAAGGAGGAACCTCGTGCAATTCATAATTCCACCATTTTGCCATGTTTTCTATCGAATATTTAACTACATACCGCTCAACCCACAAGAGATTTTTGGCAGCAAGTGCAACTTGACCGTCAATGATCTGCTACTTTCCCCTGCAGAGGCTGTAGATCCCAATACTTGTCCCTTGATTATCAAACAAGAAGAAACCAAAAAACAAAAAACAAATATTCAAATAAATCAGCAATCTTTATAAAAGAATCGCATAGTAATTACAAGAAAGCATGCCAAGAAGAATTTCAATGGCATTCCAAATTCTAAAGGGGGAATAACCTAGCGTGAGTCCATCCCATTTAAATAATGTGGATGCATGTGTTCCAATTTTCATCCAGCAGGGGTTAACAACAAAGTGTTAAATCAGTCTTATGAAAACAACTTGTAAACTATTTGCCTTAATGTGTCAACTATCAAGAAAATAGAAAAGAAAAGGCCTAATACAAGAATCAACGTAACATTAGACAGTATTATAAAAATAAATTCTATATACTCAATCCATCACACTAGAAGAACATGCTCAATCTTAAAAGACCGTCCATGTAAAGAAACCAGCATTTACCAAAAGAATGTACTAACTGATGAACATTTTACCTCAAAACCTGGTTGAACGACTTTGTTTTGTGTGTAAATAATCACATCATTTCACTTCCAACAAGAAACTAACCCATACGACTAGATTTTGAGGATGGGAATGTCCATCCTTTCACAAACTGTAGCTTAATCGCACCAAAATTTCCACATCAATCGAATCCCTTTAGGGTTGTTTCTTGCTAAGAATCAAAAATTAAAAAAGGTTAATGGAATACTGCCTGCACTTCATTTTTCATCAGCAGCCCAAAACTGTAGTAGTTCAAACCTTCAAGCTCATCACACAATGAATGTGAAGTTGTGAACAGTCTCTGTACTTCCAATCAGTCAACTTAATCACTAAACACAACACGAAGTCCTCCTTCAATGAATCTGACTGCATAGTACTGAAAGCCTAGCTAAATTGAATCAGATCTCAACCCAAAACCAAGGGAAGCACGACTGCAAACAGTTTCTTCTATGTACAGAAGCATACTACACAATAATGTAGGATGGAAATGCTTCACAATCCCATCAAAACTCTCAGACAAAAACCAAATTTCATCATACGTCCATAGCTATTAAAATCGTATGATTCGCGATTTAATTCGGTTCGTTACAAGTACAAAATAATTGTATCTTATATGAGAATCGTTTTAGAGTTGAATCGCACCTGAATTATACGATTCAATTCGTATCACACGATTCAATCGCTTTTTTTTAAAACCTAATTTTTTTGCAAAACAATATCGTTTTGTTTGCATAGAAACTCACGCCCTAATAAATACTCAACATCTTTACTCGTTCTGACGTCGTTTAAAGCTCACATTGCGTTGTCTAAAACTAAAGATTACAGCTAACGCTCTCGCATTATCGATTGATTTTTACTCTTAATTATTTCATAAGTAGTTTGTTAAATTCTAATTTTTTGTTTCAAAATGTTGACCTGTATGTTTTCTCCCAATAAATCTTCTTATTTATTCTTTTTTCATTGATGTTTGTAACTTAATTTATACTGAGTGTCACTATTTTGGTTCTTGAATAGCCATGATTTTTTAATAAATTTTTTTTTCAAGTTGTTGAATTTAAAAATGCTTAAGCAAAATATGAAAATAAAGCAAAAAGCTATCATCGTTCCATTTAGACAAAGTGATGATGTCAATTGATTATTTTTAGAATGCAATAATGTTCAATATTCAATATTTTTGTCTACTTTAAATATGTAGTATTATTTTTTATTTTTGTTCAAATTTTATATCAAATCTTACGATTCACGATTCTCAAATTTAGGATTCTGATTCACCATATCAATTGCAATTTGACAACTATGGCTACGTCTAGCAGCCACAACTTTCTTCGTTGTTCTTTCCACCAATTCATCTTCTTCTCTAAGAACAAAAAGCTTGAAAGCATCTGAATCTCTTGCTAAATGTGCCATGTAACTTCCAGTCCAGTTAGCTAAAGGAATATCGGTCATCACAAATATATATGAACTGGAAGTGGGCCCATTTGTTTCAAAGGTTCTAACTTTTGTCTTAACCCCAGAAACATAGCCTTCCAGTGTTCTTGAACTGACCATCTAACATTCTAAGCTCCACACAACGAAAAGGTGTTTTAATTGTCTCAAGAGTAAACTCCTTCCCAGCACTCATGATCTCAGTTCAGGGATGAATGGGAGGAATTCAATCTTCTTGGATAAAGATTCTGTCTTTTGGTATCTTGGAGCTTCATGGATCTCTCGATGTCTTCCTAACAGATGAAAATTTCTTCTTCTTGAGTTGTTCATCAGGTTGCAATAAATTCAATACCCCATCTTCATTATTTTGGTATGTCTAAACTGTTGTTCAGCAATCTTCATCTAAAGAATTCAAACACTTCCTCGCACAAATAGTAGTGATCCACATTGCCTTACACTCTCAAAGAAAGATTGTTCTACTTCTGAGTCTTTGGAGCAAACAAAGTCTATCTCTATGCCACACCCCATTAATAAAAAGACTCTAAAATTTATCGACCCTAACCGCTGAAACAGACACCAATGCTGAAAGATCAATTATGTCAGCCATAGATACATACCTGCAACCACATACAGAAAATAATTGAAAACCAACCTAAATCAAGTTTTTTTCTTTTATATATTTTAAGTTCAAAACCACCTTACTAAATCACCTTCCTTATAACGCAAAAATTTAAATTTGTTGCTACATTTTGATAAATAAAACAAACCAAAACAACCCAACATCGAAAATTGTAAAAAAAAAAATGAACAGCTCTTGCAGCAATTGAGAAGGAAAGACAAAGCTAATTGATGCTATGAGCAAGAAAATTATTGCAAACAAAAACAAACTGAGAAGCTAATTGCATCAGATTAAACATTGTTTCCCAGAATTTTCACACAACCGCAATATAAAACACACGCAAACACAAATGCATATGCAAATAAATTGTGTTGAGGGCACAGACACTAAAAGGACCCAATTAGACACAAAAATCAAACATCGAGAGTTCAATAGTTAAACAATGTCTTGTAAAATGATTTGCACACAAGTTTAAATCTTGAGAAATTTAACAGTCTGCCCAATAAAATAAATGCATATATACCCACAAATTCACTTGCCTGCTGGCTACTCAAAATGAGCTCAATTACATGAATCCAAACAGAAAGTCTTAGCTCTTTGGGACTTAAAAACCAAAATTTCGGGCAACAACTGAGAGAAACCGAATGCTGATCCAGAACAGAAGGGGCAATTAGAATTCGATTTAGTATGAAAGCCACTAATATAGCGTTATTGAACTCGGACAACAGGTTGTTGAACCCCCTGTGTGATGCATACCAGAGAAATTTTTCTCCTTTTCTCCTAGAGCTTCTATTTGAGAGCTGCATTGCAGGGTTGGTGAAATTCTGGAAATTTGGACAGAATCGGAAACAGGGGGTTTGTAGAAGATGAAGAAGAGGAGAACTGAAAAAAGGTGACTCAATCTCTTCTTCCATCTGTTGGTTTTGTTCAACTTCGCAGCTTCCATTCCTTCTTGTCTGAGAAGTATGAAATTTTTTCAAGGAATTTTTAATTACCTCAATTCAGGAGAACCAAGATTTCAATTTTTTTTTTGTCAGACGAAGAGTTCATATTGAGGATTGGGGGTGGGGATGGGGGTAGGGGGGGGCAAATAGTTTTTTTTTTATTCTATTATTTATTAAAATAAATTTTTACACGATAAATTGTATAGGTCAAACTCATTGAATTTGTTACATGTCAAATAGTTTCAGATGAGTTCAAATAACTCAATTTCATTGCATAGTCACTCTCGGGCGGATCTATGAGTGGGCCAGTGCGCACTAGCCCACCCTCAAACTGTTTTTCTTAATTTTATATATATGTTATTTAATTATTTGCTTTGATATTATTTGTTGTGTCCACCTTTGAATTGGCCTTAATTTATATATTTGTGAGTTTTTTTTTTCTAAATTCGTATTTTGAAGGTAAAATTGTTTGCATTGCAATTGACCTACAACAGATCTTTTTTTGTCTAAAATTGATGATTGACTTGTTCAACTAGCTTCTAGTGGTATTATTACCCTTGCTTGTTAAGTTTTTATTTGATAGCTTTGCAAATATAAAAAGACATCATGGTCAATTATAAATAGATGTAATAAGCAAGCCTTTCATTTTGATAAGAGTCGTAATTAATTTATTTATATAGTGTTTTCTTCATATAAGACATGTATCAACTTTTAGCCCTTTTCGACTTTACAAGCTTTTATTTATGAGATATGATGTATTGTCTAACCTTTATCTTGTATATCTCTATATATGTGTGAATATAGTGTAATTGGCAGTGACTCTAATATGACTATTTGGTAAATAGAAATATTGTTGGTAATGAGCTTTTTTGTTTGCATTAAAAAAAAATTGACACTAGACTTTTATATGATTTTTTTGTGGGCCATTTAGATTTTAATAGAGTTTAGATTTGTGATCTACAATATTTTATTAACATATAGAAAATATAGGGTCATCCATGTGACAACCTAAAGTCATTAATCTCTTTATGCTAGAGCCAACCCTAGTTAAAATGTCCAGCCTTGAGCCATTTCTGGCTCCGCCCCAGATCACTCTAGTCACTGGCAGAGCCAGAAGCCTCAAATGATTTCCCCTTTAAAAACCTATATGCAAACATTTCTTAAGCATAGCACCTTTTCCCCTTTAAAAGCCTACAAGCCATTCCATTTTGCTGCAAAATAAGCATTTCAACAAGAAATTAAATAACTCATATGGATGTTTATATTAACAATTTTCTCAATAAGCATTAGTGTGTGATCTCAATACTGATGAAAAAATCGTACCTAGAACATAGAACATAGAAATTATTAAGATGGAATTAAGATTTTTACTTAAGAACATAGAAGCAAACTAAATATTACAAGCTAAACTTCAAGATTCAGAGAACAATAAGCAATCCTCTTTAACTACACACTTACAGATTCAGAGGAATTCACAAACCTCCCATCCTGGATGGGCCTGTACTCTCTTCAACAGCAACAACTTCAGCCAAGTGCCAACTACAAGCAAACATCAAATTCAAATATCAAATTCAATATCTCAGCAATTCAAACAAAAATACATTTTCGGAATTGGGGATTTAGGGTTCAAATATCAAAATTAAAAGATCTCTGGGGTTTTAAGGTTCAAAGATCAAATTCAAGTTACTGGGGATGTAGGGTTCAAAGATTTCTGAAATTTGGGGATTTAGCGTCAAAAGCTGGAAACATAGGATTGCGGATTTAGAGTTCCAAATTTCGACTAAGAGAAGAGATGAGAGGAGAGAGAAGAGAAGACTCAGAGAAAGAAGAGTCCTCTGTTTAGGATTTTTCGGTTCGACAGTCGTGTTCCAGAAGAGAAGGACTGCTACCCTCCCCACCTTCGACCGTCGACGAGAGAGAGAGAGAGAGAGAGAATGGGCTTACGAGGATAGTCCCCCGTCGGCTAAGGCAGAGGGGGCTGGCTGTTCTGTTCCACGTTCGACGTCAAAGCCTCCCCTACAGGAACTTTGAAAATCGGTATTTTTTTTAATTTTGAAAAGTTTCTTTCAAAATTTTTTAAAATAAAAGAACCTTTTTTTTCATAGGCTCCTTATGATTAAAAAGAAAAAGATGTTAGAAAGTGAAAATAATATAAAGTATAAAAATATAAAGTGAAAGAAAAGAAAATAAAAAATATATATTTTCTTGTATTTGTTTGATTAGGATGAAAATTTTGCAATAAAAATATAAGAAAATTTCATTTTGTATTTTGGAAAGTAAGAAAATTACAAGAATTTTTTTAAAATTGTCAAAATTAACCTTATTTATAACTTCTTAAAATTGGTCTTATACATATGAAACACTATACTTAAATGTTCATTCTCATATGAAACACATTAATATTGAATGCGCCTACCATTATACTTTTTTTCTTTTTCGAGGAAAGAGTAATTTTATTCATTAACCAAAAGGATTTTCAAGAAGCAAATAGGATAACTCACAGTCGACTTTAATCCTTCAACACAAACAAAACCAAAATTCCATCAAACATAAATCATGTCCTGTTGTACCAACATAACATGCAAAGTTATTAAACCACTCTAAAATCCCAACACCGAAAAAACAAAAAACATACTAGAAAACTAAGTCCAAGGAATTTATAATCCTTTAATCGAAAATGCATGCACCATCATGACCACCCTGACCTTCAATTTAGACCACCGGCACCACCTTGTGCTAGGTGTCGAATTAAAAACAAATAGCGCATTTCTTCAGGATACATCAAAAATGCCCTCGTTTTGACCAGATCTGCATTCAAATACTCAAAAGCGGTCATTCGACTATCAATATCAAGCGCTTCAACATTCATTACAGCTTTGTAAAGGTCCGAATAATTTACATAAGGTTTACTCTTTTCGTATGCATCAACTAGTCTTGTCATGTTATTAGCAACTGCATTTATTGTTTCAACAACAATCTCTACATTTTTTGGCTTCTTTGAATGACGCCTCATAGGCTTTGAAGATCCAAGGTTGCGTTTGCCTTGTGTTGGTATCTAGCTACTATCATTGTCTTATTGATGTCCAGATCCATTGCCTTCTATATCACCCAAGTCATCAACTACCATATTCTCATTGTAATCAAAGACCGGTGTGTACTCATCATCACTAACATCCATTTGCCTTGACAAGTTAGCATTTATATCCTTACCTAAACATGCTCATTCTCCAGTTGCTTGATCATTGCCACACATAATAGTTAATTCGTCAATCATATCAACTTTCTTACCACGCAAACCTTTTGCATCTGGATTTGCCTATAAAAATATATCAAGCATATATGTTAACAAATTGTCATTTTATTTTGAAATGCAAAAAATTAACATTAGACATTGCTATTATGTAAATGATTATTATGTAAATGATACTTACAGCAACATATGTAGCCCAAACTTCATCACTACACTCCACAATTTTCGACACTGGATTCCAAGCAAATCCACTTTTACTCAACATGTCTTGTATGACTCTAAATTTTTTCTTGATGGTTTTTAACCAATTAACACAATTGTCTCGAGTGAGAGAAAGGTTAAAACTTGAATTCACAGCCGATAAAGCTGCAGTATAAGCGTGATCTTTAAAGCCCTTGTCCACTTTATAACCTTCATTAGCTTAATGTACAAGTTCTAGAATAAGACATCGATCCATCTCCTTAGACCAGACTACATTCTTTCATTTTTTCTTCCCATCTCCTTAGACCAGACTACATTCTTTCATTTTTTCTTCCCATCTCCTACAAGGGTTTGCGACTCGTCTCGCTCCATTCCTAAAATAACAGCTCACATATATTGAATAACAATTAACAAAAGAAACATAGTCAATTTTGAAACAGCATACATGCATAATTGAAAGACAAACAATATCAAAAACAAGGTAGTATTTATTTTCAATTCCCCAGTAAAGAGACATACACTACCATTTACATGTAACATAAAATATCAAAATACGATATCATCAAGTGTCCATTGTTGTGCTATTTGTCTACCTCAAATGGAAGTAACAAGCAAAGCAGGGAAGCTTGTCTGGAGCCAATCTCATACTAAAATAAAACACTTAACCCAACAACCAACATAAAGATATGCAAATAAACAAAAGATGAAAGAAAAAACAGAGAAGATGTGCAGAGAAAAGCTGTTAGTGGTTAAAGTCTTGATACTTGCGATATATTTCAAATCTACTACACAAAATAAAATAGAGATGGAAGATAAACTCACTGGATTGGTTTGAGCAGATGTGCAGAGACACAAGGTGAAGATGAGAGTGATTAATATGAGAGAGTTGTATATGAAGATGAAAATTGGAAGAGTTATCGTGTGCTGAAATAGGGGCAAAATGGTCCAAATGATAGAGCCTTCACAAGTTTCATGGGAAACAAAAAATCTTCATGCAAATTTGGTGGGAAAATGAATCGCTCCATTTGCGGAAAAATCTGTTCAGCAGAAAAAAAAAATTCCCGAGAAATTTGGTTTCTTGCAAATCAAACGCAATAAAAACTGTTTTTTTTTCTCTTTCCCCCATTTTCCACCACTCTCTCACTAACCAAACGAAGCCATAAAGTCTGAAATACATCTCTAACCATCGTAACACTAAAATGTCAATACCCCTTCAAGTATAATTCCCTCATGGTTACTGAATTAACGCCAATAAAACCGCAAACAATATCCCTCAAAACATGAAAGTTAGTTACTACTATAAAACGTATTTTTACGCATATATATATATATATAAATTTTAAATTTTAAAACTTAAATAAATTTTAAATTTCTTAACTTTAAATATTTCCCACATTAAGATTATTTATCTCTAAAACTCCTAAATTTTAAGATTTTCTTATATTTGAATTATTTCTCTTAAAATTCTTTAATTTTAGATTCTTTCTAAGATAAGAATTATTTCTCTCTCCCTATATATATATATATATATATATATATAAAGTAGAACGAAATTTGAATCCAAAATGCAAAGAGAGGTCCAGATCGTTTTGAGACAAAACATAAACACATCAAACGGACAGCATAATCCTAACATAAAAGACGGATCAGATCATCTCAAAAATTTTGATCTAACAGTCTATAGTTAGTCTTGAATTTCTTCTCTCGCCCATGAAGAAACCTCTTATCGTAAGACTCTAGACTCCCATCTCTCATACGTCTCTATCTTAAATTTGAAAAAACACAATAACAACTCAGACTGAATTTATTTTAAATTAAATGATCTAAATTTCATCTAAATTCATCAAACTTAATTCAATGGCTCACAACACATCTCACACAAAAATAAAATTCCACCAAGGGTGAAGCCAGAAAAATACTTTAGAATGGGCACATTAATAAATTTTAATTATTTTTTTATCAATGTTATCAATGACTTAATTCAATGTAACTGTTATTTTAGTTGTAAATTTTAATGTTAGATAAAGTCTACTTTCAATCAAAGGGGTGCATCAAATTATGTCATCAAATTAGATCTAAACAATATTTTTCATTTTTTTTTCAATTGACCATAGAAGTTCTTAAATTCATATTTACTATAATAATGTGTAAAAATTCATTAAATATAAAAGGTTAAAAAACGATTTGCATGAAATGAACAAACAAAAAATAAAAGTAAATTAATTAAAGTTTCGTATGAGACTAATTATTATCATTTTACAATTAAATCTGATTATTATTTATCATTTAAAAGAATTACAAATCAATAATATCAATAAATATTTTTTTTCTATATATAAAATGGTAATAACAGTCTTTCATTTATTACCCTATAATTTATTAGATTATGACGTTCATTTCTATACAATAATAAAATAATCATATAATTTAGAAAAATGAACGCAATATGTCTAAAAATTATTCGGACATATCTGTGTCTAAAAATTTAAGAATAATAGTAATTGCATCTAATACGAAATTTAATTTTATATATTGATCAAAAAAAAAATTAAAATTTAATTGGTAGAAACCTAATGGTTTGTGACCATTGGATGAATAGTAGACGTTATTAAATGTAGAGACTCACTGTTAGATTTAATATCATAATGTATTAGTTCTAATAACATTATTTAAAAATTAATTATTATTTAAGTAGTCGTCTATCTTAATCAATATCACAATAATACAATAATAAGGTGGACACAATTAAATATGTCTAAATTTTATTTTAAAAAATATATATTTATTGTAAAAAAAATTGAGGGTGGGCACAATTAAATATATCTAAATCTTATTTTAAAAAATATATATTTAATGTCAAAAAAAAAAATTTGAGGGGGCACGTGCCTACCCTGGTCCAATGGTGGCTCCGCCCCTGAATCCCACTCAATTTAACTACACTCACATGCTACCCATTTTGTTTAACACACACCCAAACTCATTCTCTTTTCCCCATTAGTCGTCTCATCTCTCTTAGTACCTCAGAAATCATTATCATCCTCCTCAGTCTCTCATCACTCTGTGCAAACTCCAACAATAAGCAGACCTTCTTCAACGACGCACGACATAATCTAGAGACTCATTGAACTTACCCACTCCGACCATCTAATCTCTTCCATCCAAATTGTATTGGCAGTGATCTAACCTCCGGAAGTACTTTCGCTGGTATCCATTATTGTTTATTGTTGATGATTTTTTTGGTTTGGTTTAGTGGTGTATGTTTTGACAATAATTTATTGTTTTTAATTTTTAATATTCATGTGGTTTAGTTGTGGATGTATTGTCATTAACTGATTGTTGTTAAATGTTATATGTTAAAAGTGTATTGTTTGTATCTTGATTTAGGTTGATTTTGTTTAATTTCTAATTTTACGATATAACTTTATATAAAATTAAAAATATTTCTATTAAACACACATAAAATATATAATATCTCTAAGTTTAGTGTTTTTTTGTCAAAGTTTGACAGTTTAACATTTGACCTCAACAACTGCATACACACCGTCACTACAACACAAAAATTAGTACCCAAATGGACAATATCACCATTTTTGGACATGTAAGTTATTTAATATATCGATTTTTTCAAAACCTTTGATATAATATTTCATTAAAAATCATTATATACTTACTATATAATTTTTCATCCTTCTTATTACAAACTGATTAATACCTAGAATACATTGTAAGTGGTTCTTCTTATCACGCATTTTAGTATCGATGGTTGATGTTTACTTCTTACTTTTTATCAATCAATAGTTTAAATTATTTTTATAATCCATAAATAAAATCATTAAGTTATTTTTCATATAAAAAATAAAATCACTAATGTATGAAAAACCTATAGTTTTCAGAAAATTAAAAAAAAAAATCAAAACCCAAGTTAATCAGCAATTTAAAAAAAATAAGTGACAAATACAAAAAAAATAAGATACCAATTGCACCAACAAAAAATGTTCAAAACCAATCTAATCACTATGTATTGAAATTATTCAAACATTCTATCTTTGTGTGTTGAAATTTTATAAGTGACATAATGCCTTCAGACACGGGCAATAACTAGTATATATATATATATATATAAAGTAGTTAGAATGTTTGTCTTAAACTTTTCACGACTCAGATCGTTTGAGAAAATTATTAATCTGATGGTTCTAATGTGAAATTTACTCCTCTAATTTTTTGAATAAAACTTTCATTCCTTCCAACTTCTAGAATTCCTATCTCTATTATGACTCTCTCTTTATATCTATCTCATACTATCTGATGCTCATACGGATTAAATGTGTCTTCCAATCAGCTCTCTCTCCCTCTAACATACTATGACGACTAATATAAAAATTAATCACTAACACATTAATTAGGCTGTTAATTATGGTTATACATAATTAAGAATTATTTTTAGAAATTTTAAATAAACAAATGAACCTTACATATAGATTTTTTGCGTAAAAAAGAGTCAAATGACTATAATATAGGTCATATTTCGTATTGAAACAAAAATACTATAATATTCAAATTGTATAATAGGCGAATAATATCTATGTAATTTGTAATATATCTATATAATAAGGAAGCTAGCATTGTCTTGATCTTTTCGCAGTTCAGATTATTTTAAGATTATTGATCAAATGATCGAAATTCCTCCTCCAAATTTTTTTCCTGCCCAAAAATTACAAAAATCTTTTTATTTTACTCGATTATCGGTTCGAAATAATTATAATTAGAATTTGAATTGAGCTAAATTTAATTATCGAGTATAAAATATATATTTTTGCTTAAACTTAATTTTACTTGAATTTTACGAGTAATCAAGTTAGAGTCAAATTGAAATTGATTGTAAAAATAATAAAGAATAATTAAATTTTAAAAAAAAATTATGATATCACTATGAACGGGAATAAATAAGAATTTTTTTGTAGGTTTAAGATAAAAGTGTTAATTGAGTCTAACTTAAATTCAATTCTCAGTTTGACGTGATTATGATTAAGACTCGAATTGAGTTGAATTTGACTGTCGAATATA